CGGCTCCGTTTTGTCCAACGATGGCTGCGACAGCTGTTGACACACGGCCACCCCCGCCGGCTAGAACTGGGACACCTCCAGTGAAACTTCAGTGACGACCTCATAAACTTTCATCACCTCACGCGCGTCGAACGCTCTGGCTTGATAACCGTGAGGCCTTGTGAGTTTGCGCCCCCCTATTCCTCCCCTAATTTGTCCAAGCACACAACCAACACTCAGCCAGTCACCCCCTGCTGCTTCCGCGTTATCAACACACCGAGATTGACACTCGCCGTGAACGGATGCTTATCACTGTCGCAAGCAAACAGCCAACTTACGGCAACCTTTGCTGTGTACAGAATAAACTAGTCCTCACATCTCCCTGACTTCTGACCTTAGACGAAACAAACTGATTGTGCGTACTTTAAGTTGATCTCACATCCTTGACCGCCACAACATATCCATCTATTTATTTATGTAGCAAGTGATACTATCGATAGTAGGTCCAGCATATTCATTTTCATAGACTTCAGCAAACGTTTGGCTATTTGCCTCGGAAATGGTACATTTTTAATATGATATTCTCAGTTATTTATTTTGCGACAGAAAACCCCATAAGGCCGAAGAAAAGGAAAGCGAAGTAACTTTATACGGTAAAGAAATGAGGACTGCTGCCTATTCATAAGGTAATAAATCTACTGATAATGCTCTATGTTCATGCGGCATTCCCTAACATAAAAACAATACAAAGCTTAGTGGTAAACGCGCAGTTCAAGAATGTGCTGTTTAATGTAGGACGAAATAACTGGAGGTTAGTTCTCCTGCCACTGTCCTCACAGACAATAGTAACGGCGATGAATAGCGATGCTGTAGTGGTGTTACCGAGTTCACGGGATAAAGTACGATCTAGGGATTGGCTGCAATGGTAATGACTATATTTCAATATTCCGGGTGATTTCCATTCTTTCACTACTGTACGAGGATAAGTAGAAGCAGTCAGTATCCGTTCACCCATATAACGATTATTAGTCTGGTTGGAATGAAGGTTAGAGAGAGTCCTGCCCAGTTGGAGAGGACGACAGGAAGGCGCAAAAAATGGGCACAGTTAGCGGGACAACGACATCTGACCTTGGTAAATGCGGCGCCTTCAAGAAATTGTTCTATATGCACAAGTCCGCTTTGCATAAGCTGACTGCGGCCGCTTCTGCTGCTGCTGCTGCCTCTGTTTCTAATAGACACCGTCTTGGTGGTTTCGGGTAGTTCGAAGAATCAGTCTAGGTCATTCGGACGGCTTCTCTAGGGTCCACGCAATTCACGAAATCAGCCACATGCGCGAGGATGGTATCCCGGCTTTTTTAGCTTCTCTCTTCCATAACCATGCTGAAGGGTGTTCATGTATCCCTTGGATAGGCACGGACCGGCATTTCCTGCTCTGCGGGATGAAATAAAATGTGCCATCATAGTACGCCCAGAGAAGACCATGGGACCTTAAACAGGGTGCTAAATAACCAAAATGTCAGTTGTTTGGCCCTACCCTAAATATGAACCGGGGCATGGGCCCAAGTTACATCGTGCAGGATGGAGTTTTACTTTCCTATAGAAATTCATTCCAGCCGTTTGTCACGCACACTATCAAAAACGGCCACCTAGGCAGCCTGCACATTTACAGACACTTTTGATTAAGGAATTATTCTAAGACAGTGGCGTTACGACTTTAAAAAGTTATACGTGCGGAACATTGTGAGTTTTCTTTGTAAATAGAAATGCGACATCAGGTCGGCTTCATAAAGGTCCTCTTAATAGCAGGCTTCCTTGAGTAGTCAATTTTGCAAAGAAACCACCTTCTAGAAGAAGATAAAGCGGCAAAACTACTGTCAATTCTGTTAACTGTGAAATGTTCAATAATTGCGGCGATGTTCGATTCTGCAGTCCCACTTCATCGATATCATATGGTTAGCTTCCTAAAACAGTCTTAGTAGGTGCGATTATGTTGGCTTTACCTTCTCCCTCCTGGGTTTCCAGTCTACTTGATGCTGTGTTGACAACGGGTCCAGGTGGGAAGTGTGGAAGAGAGTGCGGTAGATGCTGCGCAAGTCTACTATCATCATAAACTAGTTCCCGCGATAGCCACCGTGTCTGCCTTACCTTTCAATAGAGCACACGGTGGACATCGTCGGCAAAGACGGTCGAACTGCCGTATGCATCCTCCTCATTATCCTAATCCAGCAAGTGTCTAAGTTGGCTTGCAAATGGAATTTTTCGGGCGGATTGGAACTCTGTTAATTCAACTTCAGTGGCCATGCATTGCAAATCACCACCCGTTTCCCTTCCAGTTGTGATTGCCCCCCCCCTCATTATTCGAGTAATCCAGCGAGTATTGTATAAGAATGTGTACACGCCACATTCAACCGCTTCCCCCTGCGCGCACTTTCCCTTCCTAATCCGACGAGTGTCTAAAATAAGTACAATGGGTGGATTAACTCGTGAAATGTCAACCGAAATTTCGAAATGCGTTTTCCTTTTGAAAAGATCAATTAAGTAGGGTTGTAAAACTAATCATCATGCAGCATAATTCTATAATATTTCAGTTACCACAGGATATCGGCTTTCGAAAGAACTTCCTACTGGCTACATACAAAAACTACGCTCTGTAAAAAACGACTACATAAGTAGCATGCTTTTTTCTCATTGACCTTCGATGCCCCTAAATGTCCAATTATATTTCGTGGAAAACATACATGAAAATATTCACTCTTTTGCTCCTTCGGTAGAGAATTACGTCTTCTTCTAATTTTAAACTCGAACGAGGGACATAATTCGGTTTTTAAAAAGTTTCTAACTGTGGGAATTTTAAATACCGTGAAATGGCCGTTCATAAATCGTCATGTCTCTACATTTACCAATGAGGCTTGTAAAGTTAACAATGTGGATCAAATCCACTGCCTAATTCTATGAACCCTATATGGTCCCCCTTCAGTACCGTAGATAAATGTGTGGATTTTCGTACGCGAAAAATACAGGACTTGTAGTTTTGAAACCTTGAATCCGTGTGTAACGGTAGAGCGGATTCAAATCTATTCGGTAACTGAAAGGCTTTTGAAAGTCTATTTATACCCTTCCTTCGAGGATAAGATTGAAAAAAAGACGTATTTGTCTACCGATTGCGCAAAAGAATGAATATTTTGGTGCATGTTTTCTATGAAATATAATTGGATTTTTAAGAGCATCAAAAATAAACTAGAAAAATTCATGCTACTTAAGGAGTACTTTTACAGATTGCAGTCTTTGCGTGCAGCAGACAGAAAGTTCAATCGAAAGCCGGTATCCTGACGTAACCGGAATACTATATAATTATGTTGCAGGCTGACTAGTTTTAGAACCCTTCTTGATGAATCTTTTCGAAACGAAGACGCATTGCGGAATTTCGGTTGACCTTTCATGAGTTAGCCCACTTACTGTATGTCAACTAGCATTTTTTTAATAAACTAACCACATGATACCGACCAAGTGGAGCAGCAGAAAAAAACCGCGCCCTCATTTATTACGCTTGTTATTTAGGCGATATGTCGTCACATTTACGATGATTTCAAGTCGAATTTCTGACCTGCTTATGAAAAGGTGTCTTGTGTGCGCGGGGAATCTCGACTTTTCTTCACAAAAATTAAAAGGACAAAGCATAAAAGGCCAATCTAACGTCTTTCTTGTTAATAGACCACTACGTTGTATTAGTGTGAATAAAGACGAAACTGTAAGTGGGCTTTTCATTTTTCGTTAAAGATATAAGTGAACGCCAGCGAATAGGACAGCCTGCAGGATGGAAAACAAGCAACTCGTTTTTTTCCCCAGAGATCTGGCCAAGAACAATAACAAACATTTGCGAAGCCGAAATCGATCTCTACATGGCGATTTGACTTGAAAACTATAAGAGGAACCCCGGACTGCTGTCTCAGACTAAGTTAAAATCACCCGACACTCGCAAATCTAGTGCAAGGCAGACCTATCTTGGGACAGAACCCGGTCAAACCGATTCTGATAGGTGGTATCTAAATTACCTTTACGTCTCCCTTGTCCTTGTAGATCGTTTATTGTCTTTGCTGTTTGCTAAAGAACTTCCGTCACAATTTTGGATGTTTTTAAATTGCGCCGAGTGACTTACTACAGACCTGGTTTCTGATCATTCGCGCTTTTAAAAGTGATGCTTCGATGTGATTCGCACATTCCCGAGATTGCAGGTGTGACGCATGACACACACCTGCACTTTTGAACCACAACAAATGTAATATTTCTCCACCGGCAGCAACGATCAAGTAGCCAGAGACCCGACCAGTGTTTATTTCAAGTAACCACTCTTCTATCCCACTTGAAATTGTTAAAAACTTTACAGCAGTTAGTAGGACGCACGTTGGGAGGGAATGCATTCGGATGAGCAAAGGCTTAGCCACGCCCCGTTCTTTTACAAACTAAATTTATATTTACATGCACGCGTTTGGTATGCGAGACTGCATAGAGTTCTTCAAATAAGTATACGTTTATCTGTCACTTTGGGGTGACCGAACTGGGTGGAGGGGGTAAATTGGGACATGAAGACACCGGGGGGAGGGGGGGGGGAAGAACGAGCGAAGGCCGATGGGGAGTAATCTGTCCAGGTCACACCCAAAGAACTCCCCCCACCTCAGACATATCGTTCATAAACCTTCATGGGCAGACATGGGTGATGGGGAGACTCACCTTCCCCACATCCACTCGCCTCCTTCTCCTCCTCCTCCCCCCTCCTCCTCGTCCGCTATGGTAATATCAGTCTCGCAGACGCTCGTGACCCCTGCACGTGGAATTACTAGCTTCAGGAGAAATGTTGATGGGCAGAGTGCTTACATAAATGTCGACTGTGGTAAATTATGAAAGTGGGCGTTGCAGGTCAGTGGACAAAGAAGGGAGGTCTCAGCTGTCTCCTGGTATTCCCTACTCCTTCCTTTTCAAATACACGGAGTCGCAAACACTCGCGGACATCAGAGTGCACGGCCATGGCTCAAGAGACGGAGGAGACTGAAGTTGCACCGTTGATCACGGAGATTAACAGCGAGGTAAGTAGACTTACTGCATTTCACCCTGCTCTTCTGTCACATCTATCCAAGACATGTACAGTTTTTTGTATTTACTTAAATTATGGAATTATTTAGGCGAAACTGTGATAATTAGGGTTTGCCATGACCGCTGAGTGCTCAGTCTCTCGTTGCAGCTGAGACATGGGAGTTGAGCTTGAGCCTTCAACGAAAAAAACAAAGGGCAGTTGTTGGATTCTCGAAAGCTCTCAGGCATATTTAGCCTGATCTTGAGATAAGGGCTCTCCTTCACCATCGGACCTGAGATTGTGGTTATGCATTATCAGTTTTGACTGTTCAGTCATTTGGCGTCGATTTCTATTGTCAGCAGTGTCCTACTTAACCAACGGCGGTAGATAAGTTGATCTGGTCGCTATAGGTCGACGCCATTGCAATCGGCTGTAGTTCCTGCTCATTGCAGAAGGAATGGATTCTTCGTATTCGCCTTCGCTGCGTAAAAATATTATCAGAAGTACCCCTGGGGATGACGTAGAATAGTTAGACAACAAACGATGAGTTCTTCGATCGACCATATTGTTACTCCCACGGAAATGTTTGGCTTTTGCGGCAAGACCAGTCTTTTTCATATGTTATCGGTCCGACTGTAGGTTGGTTGGTGTTCTCGTCGGTCTATGACTTCTCTCGCAAAGGTGGTTCCGAAACCATGGCGTATGTGGAATCCTTCAGGAGGATCCATGTGTTTTGGTACCTGACACAAAATCCGTGGGGTTCTAGCTGAACACCAGTCACCGATAGACTCACCTCCGTCTTGACTAGCTGCTAAAGCGGTTCTGCAGAGTCTCGACCGGCTATTAATTATTAATTTTTTTCCAATGACCGACACATTCTGCGAAATACGTGTCTGAACTTGCCGCTCATTCCCATTCTGGTGCCATGGTGAATCAGTCGGTGGATACGGATTTCAAATGTCTTATTGACAGAACCGAGGATTCTGGTCCTAACACCTCTGGCCTACTTACTGTTATTAGTCAGTGGAGTACCAACTCCAGGTTGCACGTTCTATATTCTAACCATATTTTACCACCACGAGGACCCCATATAACTGCGGTAAGTAGTCATGTCATAGCAGATGAGACTAAAAACATTCAGGCAAACCGCAGTGGTGGGCACCAGTTCAACCTAACTGCAGGTGTGATTTCTCTTCTGGGTTGGTGCTTATGAATTACAAACTGTGCAAGTGATTGGCAATCAATTATCGTGAGGTTTCTCCAACAAGACGGGAAAATTTTGATTGCGTTTTCGACCCATGTACATAAAAGTGTGCGGAGATTCTAAGTTTGAGTTTGCAGTCTCATGTATCATTCACAGACGAAAAGAGGCGAGTACATTGACCAATGTCAATGTGCTGGAAGCCACTTCGCTTCTATCATCAAAGTGGTGAAATGACCTTAATTTCCCTGGCTCCTCTCTCTCTGACTCTCTGTATAACTGTCCCCGAAGCATGAAAATTTGGCTTGTCCGTTTCTTGCTCGCTAATTTTGAACGGCCCATGACATGGCGCATAAATTCTATGCTGTTCGCTAATTCCGCATGCATGTTTTGTCTTCGTCTATGGACTAGGTTTAAAAGACATAGTCGTGTATGAAAGTTAAATAGGCTTTTTTGTTGACTACTTGACCCTCAGTTGATTCCCTCGCCCGCAGGCACCGAGATGCCAGTACGTTATTCGACAGGGGCGGATGATAAGCCAGTCTCTTTTATTTTTGTCAGTAATCACTCTGTTCGGTGAGGGTCCACTACCATTGTATATTTCCGATCGAAACCGACAGGACAGCGGGCTCTTGGCCCAGTGGTTAGAGGCGTCGGACTTCTAACTAACAGGTCGCGAGTTCGAACCCCGGGGGTTCCACACTTCGGGGTTAAGTATGACTGCCTGACGACGGCTAATAAGCCAGAAGTGGTCATTTCAGTCCTCCTTGTCTTTGTAGGTTATAACATATTGCATGTATGCCCATGTCTGCCCAAGAAGGTTTATGGACGATATGCTTGGGTTAGGGGAGTTCTTTGGGTGTGACCTGGTTAGAGGCGTGGACTTCTAGCTAACAGGTCGCAAGTTCCAGCCTCGGGTGTTCCACACTTCGGGGTTGGATATGACTGGCTTCGACGGCTAAGAAGCCAGAAATGGCCATTCCAGTCTCCCTTACCTTTTTCGGTAATACCACTCTGCCTAAATCATGCGCCGCTATGCGGCAGCTGTTGGGCTCGAACGAGAGCCCGTAATGCACAACGGAACTAGTGAGTTCTGAAAGAACGATCTATGAGCGTCCCCTATTATATATATATGTAAATATCCCTGACAACCAGCTGGGACCAAAATCACAAATTTGCTCACAGACACACCTGGCAAACCTGATCCACCACCGGGGTCTACCAGATGGGTCACAAGCCCTTCCTCGAACTGAAGTCAATCAGCACTTCGCCACCTGCTCTTCTCTGTCGTTGCAGATCAGGTATTTACTCACTCAGGAGAAGTCATACATCGATCTGTTGGCTTCTCTAAGTAAGCAAACGTTGTATGTCTGTTAGGGGCACGAAGAGGCCACCACCTACCAAGCATAGTCCGCAAAACTATGATTCCTATATTAATTTCGGGAAACAAATGTATCAGTGTGCGCAAATCCCTGAATGAATAAATACACGATCTTCATCGACGGAGGAGGGCAGGTAGCGAGCCACCGTTGAGCCTCGGTTCGATGAAGTGCTTATGACCCATAACACGGTCGTGGAAATTGTTCCACCAACCTTCCAGCACGAATACTAGAATATAAGCAGGCAGTAGCACTTTCCCTTACCACCATGACTAGAAACTACTCAGGTCTGGAGTTCAGAGAGGAGATTCTTTTTATGTCTTCGGTATTCGAGTAATGGATTCAAAATGCTAAATATAAATGCGCTAGTGAAATCTCCAATTTAACTTATATATTCGCATTTATATATATTATCATATTGCAGGAGGATATGGAAGAACTCAAGAAGGTCAGCAATGAGCGTCTGGTGATTGTAGATTTTTTTGCAACCTGGTGCGGTCCATGCAAATCGGTCAAGGCCGCCTACGAGAAGCTGGCTGAGGAGGAGACCTCGGTTACTTTTGCCAAATTGGATATCGATGTGTACGAGGCACGTTTGTAGCCTTTCTCTGCAGCCTTCTCTCTCTCTATGAAATCTGTACTGCTTCTACCTGCTGCCTGCAGCTAAAACTACGTGTGATTAGATCTTTTCCAACAAATTAACTGTTATCAGACAAGTATTTGCATCATCTATGCCGCCGTATTTCGGTGAGTAAAGGGAACATTTACTCTCATCTACTCGTTGCCAAGTAGGAATTGTTTTTCTAGCAAATGGGTTTTAAGAATGCCCAGTGGCGATGTGTTCTCCGTGCCGATGAAGGATGCATATCAAGTCAGAATCTAAAAGGGATTATATAATTAAACGTTATTTGACGCTTTTGTCAAATTCATCAAGTACCGAAGTAGATGGAATCGGATTAGGCTTGCTCAGCAGCAACAGCAAAAAAGTGCAATTATTCTACAAATTAAAAACCGGCCTGACTAGAATCAAAATGTTTAATGTTTAATGCCTAGAAATGTCTATGCTGTCGGCAAGAGGTTGGAAATTTGCGTTTTTCTCTTTTCGCATGCTCAATCCCTTAAGCACAATGTATCTCACAGCAATAGAGATTTCATTTTTGTTAAGTGTTCTAAAATCCGAATCAATTTTATGTACTATATTAGGAAACGGTATTCTTAAGCGATCTGTAAATTTTTTTTATCCACATTCGCTTGCTTGAAACATATTTCGCGTGAATTTAAAGATGTATTTTCATGTACAGTAGGTGGGCTAATTCATGAAATGCCAACCGAAATTACAAAATGCGTTTGCCTTTAGAAAAGATTAATTAAGTAGAGTGGCAAAAGTAGTCAGCCTGCAACTTAATTCTATAACATTTTAGGTACCACAGAATGCCGGCTTTCGAGTGAATTTCCTTCTGGCTGCATTCAAAAGCTACACTCTGTAAAAAATAACTACTTATGTGGCATGAATTTTTCCCATTGATTTTCGATACCCCTAAATGTCTAATTATATTTCATGGAAAACATGCATAAAATATTCATTTTTCCGCTCATTTGGTAGGAGATTACGTGTTCTTCTAATTGTATACTCGAAAGAAGGGGATAATTTGGTTCTTAAAAACTTTTCCAATTCCCGAATAATTTTGAACCCGCTCTACCGTTACACTTGGATTCAGTGTTTCAAATCTACGATCCGTATATTTTCCGCCCAAGTGAAGCCGCACATTGCTCTACGGTACTAAATGTGGACTATATAGGGTTCATAGCATTTAACAGTGGATTTGATCCATATGGTTAACTTTACAAGCCACATTGTTAAATGCAGAGACATGACGATTTATGAACGGGCATTTCACGGCGTTTAAAAGGCCCACAGTTCGAAACTTATTGAAAACCAGATTCTTTCGCTCCTTCGAGTATAAAATTAGAGAGAGACGTCATTTTCTACCGAATGAGCAAAAGAATGAATATTTTTATGCATGTTTTCCACTAAATATAATTGGACTTTTAGGGGCATCTAAAATCAATGAGAAAAATTCGTTCTACTTGAGTAGTCCTTTTTACAGACTGTAGCTTTTGCTTGCAGTCAGAAGGAAATGCATTCGAAAGCCGGCATCCTGACTTAAGTTAATTATTATAGGACTATGTTGCAGACTGGTTAGCTTTACAACCCTACTTAATTGATCTTGTCGAGACGAAAACATATTTCGGAATTTCGGTTGACATTTCATGAGTTAGCCCACCTACTGTCATATTGGTATTGCAGTCCTAGCTACTTTAGTTTTGGTTCCCTGTTACTCCAGCATAAACTTGCTAGTGTCTTCGTAGTTCTGGTGGCATGATGTTTACTTGGCTATTTAATAATCTCGCAAACAAATGGAAAGTATTATTGACCAAAACCTTCACCTATGACACCGAACATAGAATGCCGGAGACATCGATCGCTGGCCATCGCCGCAAAATCAACGCCTGTGAGTTAAACTTATGCCCTGCTCGTTTGTTCCGTTACAAGATATATAAGAAACCTTCCGAAGTTGACAACAATTCAAGCCAAGAAACATTTTTATCCCAGTAGTATGCTCTTAGGCGCTGTTTTCTAACAAGTGCTGAGATTGGCACCCGCCTCGGTGTATTTAAAACTAACTTTTAGTAATGGACTACGCAAGCGGCTAAAAGGGATGTTTGAGAGTTATGAAAATCCCCATATCAATATTCAGAAGACAAATTGGCGAGCAAACGTTGCTTTCGATTGCTTATCTTCAGGTCGGTACAGATATATGGGAACGGGATACAGAGCCTCGTTCAGGCTCCGCGTTTGCCGTGATCAATGATTGATTAACCACATACAACTTTCTGCGCCCTATCGCTTTTGCCTGTATTTTAAATCTATCTTTTATCGATTTTTTCTGTCACTGTACCCCGTTACTATATAGATGAACCGGCCTGAAGAGGAGTTATCGCAAGCAACGTTTGCTCGCCACTTTGTTTTCTAAAAGGAATGTTTTGATCGGCGACTTCACGAGCAAATGAAGATATTCGCTTTGCAAGATTTCTGTCTGCAAAGGACATTTTTAGAGCACTTTTAAACTGATTTCTGCATTTTTAATCTAATTTAGAAGGTTGGAAATAACGCGTACATCCTTCTTGGAGTCGTGTTTAGATTTTTGAAAATAGCAGTTGCTAAGTATTTGTTAAGTAGGGTCTACATGTTACACTTCGGCATCGAAATTCCCCAAAGCACTCCAAAGTAATGTCCAAAAAATCGTTACCTATTGCGGATACTTCCTAAATAGTCATTGCTGCATAAATTGTTCTGATTAACTTACCACTCAATCCTATATTGAACTCCTTTCCTCGGTTTATGAGATAAAAGCACACCACGACCGTGCAAGCCGGTTCACTTTGCACCACAGTGTTGTTTTTCTCGTCAAAGAGTCCTTCGGACGCAGCGCCAAAGCTCTCTAGACATAGATGACCAGAAAAACCCGTTAATATACACCTTGAGATGGTGTTCATGGCCTTTTTTGCTTAACTGAGAGTACCCTACCAAAAAACGCGTATGGCCATTAATGAAGATAACAGATCTTGCACTCGGACTGCGCAGTTGCATTCGACCTAACGGAGGAGTCAGAAGTGTTGCGTAGCGAACGCTAAATGGAGGTTTTAATTCGTGCTGGTCCCATCATGTGACCTAGTCTTCAGTCGCCTTGCCACTGGTGCATGCCTGCAGAGAGAAATAAAGAAAGGGTGCATTTCAGGCTGCTCCATTTCAATAAAACTGACACACTTGCTAACTGTTACGACATGCAAAATAACGTGTACCGGCGGACTTTCAACCGATGTCATTCCTCCTCCTCCTCCTCCTTCGGAAGCAGGGTCACACTGTGGTAATTCTCATCGGTAATATACGGGAAACTCTTTGTGAAAATTACTTTGAATGCTGCCAAAAACTAACACTTGTGCAAACGCGTAAACGGATCCTCTTTGCTGTGGCAAACGCTAGGCCCCAACCGATTTTTGACCGGTCGACTTCTACCTTCCACAGGGCGAATAAGAGAAGTGGAATTGAATACGCACCAGCGCTTATTTTCTCAGAATTATCTACAGGATAGCCCAAACTTCTCTAGACATTTTAAATAAATCCCAAAGAATTACACGAAAAGTTAAGTTTATTAGACTTTTTTTATCATCGTCACTGATTCATCACTTTTTACGAGAAGCGATGGTCGTTTTGATAAAGGTGGCGAAATACGTTACACAGTTCCACACAAGCACAACAATCTTCCACTTGAAACCTCTGAGGGGTGTGAGATCAGTACGGGCAAAACCGTACCACTCTTCGAAGCAGCCGCTGAATCGAGCTTTCATTGATGCCGAATTCTGGTGCAGCCTTTCCAATAGACTTTTTTGCTTATGCACACATCCTCTCAGGGCTTTTGTTGTTCCCGTCGGTGGTGGTGCTAGCAGGAAAAATCCCGTTTCCTGAAATTCGCCATAGACAACTTAAATTAATTTACGTGTTGTAGCGATGTTATGGCCATAAGGCTTCACAAATTCGCGTTGTACTGTAGTCAGTAACAGAAAATCTTCTTGCTTGAAAACAGTGTCGCAACGTTGCCCAATGGGCAAGCGAATGACTGGTTTGCTTAAATGCAGAGCCTGGGGCATCAACTGCTGATTGCTTCACGACTCTTCCAATAGTATAGCATATTTAGGATAATAGGCAATGCCTTTGATGACCCTATTGAAAACGGTATATAAAATAGTGGTGTTAATCACGTGTTACTAAAATGTTGTCAGTAGCATATTTTTCGCAGAAAACCTTTACCGTGTAGGACTGCGATAATTACCGCAGACGGTCCTCTCCATGTAAGTGAAATTTTACAGTCAGCACAAAATCTAGTCATTTCTGTAGTCTGCGGGCGAAAGTTGCATCAAACATGCAGGGATGCGTTACATAGGGAATGAAATCAGGAAAGAAAGTTCATGGCTGGCCGTAGATAGTCTTGCAATGAGAGTCGTTGTTTGTCAAAGATCAAACGATCCAACTGCCTTTTGAATACAACCATTGGGACAGATGTCGCTATTTCACTTGGGAATGAGTTCCACGGACGAACAGCACGCTGACTGAATGAAAACTTCCGATGTTCTATGCGTACACGTTCCCGTTTGACTCTGTAGGGATGACCGTGAAGGTGGATCATGGTCGTGAAGTCAAAGAAATCTTCAGATTTGAGCGAGCAACCATGCCCACAGATAATGCGAAATGTCTATAACAGATCACACCTCGTTTGTCTATGGGATAGAGGGGACAGATTAAGCTGCATCAGTCTTTCTGGATATGACAGAGTCCTGAGACCGTCCACCATTTTTTCGCCCACCGTTGCACCTGCTCTATGGCATCACTGTCTTTCTTCATCCGGGATATCCGTGCTGATATTCCGTATTCCAAATGTGGTCTGACGAACCACTGAATATCTGCGCGAAGAGTTCGGGAGGAAAGACTACGAAGGCACGCCCGATCCAGTGCATGATGCTGGTTGCTCTTTGGACGGCTCT